GCAAAAACAGAGGCACTTTTCAGCGGTATACTGGCAATGGATCTAAAAAGGATGGTGACAAGGTGAAAAATTACCAAGGAAAGGGAGACCCTCATTCAGGGGGAGCTTCCAAGAATCGCGGTAATAGTAGAAAGTTCGATGGCAAGTGTTACAATTGTGGGAAGATGGGCCACATGGCAAAAGACTGTTGGACCAAGAAAAAGCCTGTTGAAAGTAATACTGCTACTTCTTGTTCGAAGGAGAATAGTGAAGATGGTTGGGATGCTGAAGCGTTATTTGCTACGGAGGAAGAAGAATTAGCTCTCACGGTAACAACACCAGAACGGATTTACTACAAGAATGATTGGATCGTAGATTCTGGCTGCTCAAATCATATGACGGGTGACAAACAGAAGTTGCAAAACCTGTCTGAGTACAATGGAGGTCGTGTGGTGGTGACAGCTGACAACTCAAGGTTACCGATAACTCACATCGGTAAGACAATAGTTACTCCTCGATATAATACTAACCAGGTGCAACTCCAAGATGTTTACCATGTCCCACGAATGAATAAAAATTTGCTATCTGTGGCTCAACTAACATCATCAGGCCATTATGTCTTATTTGGTCCCCAAGACGTGAAGGTTTATCGTGACGTCAAAATCACAGAAACACCAACAATGGAGGGACGACGTTTGGAATCAATTTACGTGATGTCAGCAGAGTCTGCATATGTGGACAGGACAAGGAAAAATGAGACATCAGATCTATGGCACATGCGGTTAGGTCACGTTAGCTATTCCAAGCTAAGTGTGATGGTGAAAAAGTCGATGCTTAAGGGGCTTCCTCAACTAGACGTGAGAACAGACACGGTCTGTGCGGGATGCCAGTATGGTAAAGCACACCAATTACCATATGACGAGTCGAAGTTTAAAGCAAAAGAACCTTTGGAGTTGGTTCACTCTGATGTGTTCGGACCGGTTAAGCAACAGTCAATTAGCGGTATGCGAAATATGGTAACATTCATTGATGACTTCTCCAGGTATGTGTGGGTTTTCTTTATGAAAGAAAAATCTGATACTTTCTCAAAGTTTAAAGAGTTCAGAGACTCAGCTGAAGGAGAAGTGGGAAAGAAGATATGCTGCTTGCGCACAGACAACGGAGGAGAATATAGATCACACGAGTTCTCTCAATACCTAAGGGAATGTCGAATACGTCATCAGTACACTTGTGCCAACACGCCACAACAGAATGGTGTAGCGGAAAGAAAAAACCGGCATCTTGCAGAAATTTGTCGAAGTATGCTACATGCAAAGAACGTATCTGGAAGGTTTTGGGCTGAAGCAATGAGGACTGCAGCCTTTGTGATCAACAGACTTCCTCAACCAAGGTTAGGATTTGTTTCACCCTTTGAGAAACTATGGAACATAAAACCTACAGTTAGCTACTTTTGAGTATTTAGCTGTGTATGTTATGTGTTTGTTCCTGATCATTTACGGAGTAAATTTGACAAGAAAGCTGTTAGATGTATCTTTGTGGGATATGACAGCCAGAGAAAGGGGTGAAAATGTTGTGATCCAATTAGTGGAAGATGCTACACGTCACGAAATGTGGTATTTGATGAAGCATCTTCTTGGTGGTCCTCAGAGAAGGAGGTGTTGCCAGATTCGAGAGAATTTGGAGACAAACTACAACAAAAGATGGGGGAGCATGATGTTCAACTTCAAACAAGTTCAGATGAATCAGAAGATTCAAATGGTGATGATGTCGAACAAAGAGTGACTCAGAATCCGTGGCAAACTGGCGTGTATCAACAACCAAACGAAGAAGGTGGGCCTAGTGAAACAGAAGAATCAATTCCACAATCTCAACTTCGAAGGTCAACAAGAATACGAAGGCCAAATCCCAAATATGCCAATGCAGCCATAATTAAAGAAGCAACGGAGCCTGAGACGTTCGAAGAAGCATCGAAGAGTTCTGAGTGGATGACAGCTATGAAAGAAGAGATCGATGCACTTCAGCAAAATCAAACTTGGGATATTGTACCAAAGATAAAAGATGTGAAACCCATATCTTGCAAATGGGTTTACAAGATAAAGCGCCGTCCAGATGGGTCAATCGAGAGGTACAAAGCACGATTGGTAGCTTGTGGTTTCTCTCAACAGTATGGATTAGACTATGATGAAACATTTAGTCCAGTGGCGAAACTTACAACCGTACGAGTCTTACTTGCACTTGCAGCCAACAAAGACTGGAACTTGTGGCAGATGGATGTAAAGAATGCTTTTCTTCATGGAGAGCTAGATCGAGAGATCTACATGACCCAGCAAATGGGTTTTCAGAGTCAAGATCATCCTGAATATGTGTGTAAGCTGCGAAAAGCACTCTACGGATTGAAACAAGCACCTAGGGCGTGGTATGGTAAGATTGCTGAATTTCTAACGAAAAGTGGTTATTCAGTAACACCTGCAGATTCTAGCTTGTTTGTCAAAGCCAATGAAGGTAAGCTAGCTATCGTGCTAGTGTACGTGGATGACTTAATCATAACCGGTGATGATGAGGCAGAAATTCTTCAGACGGAGGAGAATTTATCAGTTCGTTTCCAGATGAAGGAACTTGGACAACTTAAGCACTTCCTTGGTCTAGAGGTTGATCGTACACACGAAGGAATATTTCTATGTCAACAGAAATATGCTAAAGATTTGCTGAAGAGGTTTGGAATGCTCGAATGCAAGTCAACTTCAACGCCAATGGAACCAAATATCAAAATGTGTGCACATGAATGAAAAGATTTGGAAGATGCAACAATGTATCACAATTGGTAGGTAGTCCGATCTACTTAACCTTGACCCGACCTGACATTTCTTATGCAGTTGGTGTGATGAGTCGGTATATGCAAAATCCAAAGAAGCCTCATTTGGAAGCAGTTCGACGAATACTGAGATATGTGAAGAATACAATTGACTATGGTCTTTTGTACAAGAAAGGTGAAGACTGCAAGTTAGTTGGTTATTGTGATGCTGATTATGCAGGAGATCATGACACCAGGAGATCAACAACTGGGTATGTGTTTAAGCTTGGCTCTGGAACAATTTCTTGGTGTAGCAAAAGACAACCAACGGTATCATTGTCAACCACTGAAGCTGAGTATCGAGCAGCAACAATGGCAGCTCAAGAGAGTACATGGTTGATACAGTTGATGAATAATCTACATCAACCAGTAGATTATGCAATTCCGTTGTATTGTGACAACCAATCGGCAATTCGGCTAGCGGAGAATCCTGTCTTTCATGCAAGAACTAAACATGTGGAAGTACATTACCACTTTGTTAGGGAAAAAGTTTTGCAAGAAGAGATTGAGATGAGGCAAATCAAGACAGATGAGCAAATTGCTGACTTGTTTACAAAAAGCTTGAGTGTTGGAAAGTTTGAACATTTTCGTCGTCAGCATGGCGTGATTCAAAGAATGGAGGCTAACATTGAGGGGGAGTGTTGAAAATTCAATATTAGCCTATATGTTCACACCTAAATTAATTTGATGTCATTGCTTACATCAATTTAGTTTTGATGTCATTGCTTACATCAATTTAGTTAGGTGAAAATTAAGTATTTTTCTCATGTTTTAATTTCAATGGTTTAGATTATTTAGTGTTTATTTTAATGAGTGGTTTAGATTGTTTCTTGTAACCTATAAATACCCTACTTGTATTTGAGTTTTATCATCCAACAATCAAAGCTTAATTATAAGCATTTGAAAGCTTTCTTAAGAGTTCTTCCCTTTTGCAATTTTGTGAGATTATTCTAAAGAGAGTTTTTTTTTATCAATTAGAGTTTTTACTCTATTTTGATTCAACAAGAAGCTCCACAAGGTTTGTAATAACCTCGACAATAACTCAAGAAATATTTTCTGATGTGGAAGATCAGTTAAAAACTGCAGCCACAGAGCATACTCAGAATTTCAAGAGATCTTAAAAAACGTGGCTCTGATACCAATTGTTGAATCAAAATAGAGTAAAAACTCTAATTGATCAAAAAAAACTCTCTTTAGAATAATCTCACAAAATTGCAAAAGGTAAGAACTCTTAAGAAAGCTTTCAAATGCTTATAATTAAGCTTTGATTGTTGGATGATAAAACTCAAATACAAGTAGGGTATTTATAGGTTACAAGAAACAATCTAAACCACTCATTAAAATAAACACTAAATAATCTAAACCATTGAAATTAAAACATGAGAAAAATACTTAATTTTCACCTAACTAAATTGATGTAAGCAATGACATCAAAACTAAATTGATGTAAGCAATGACATCAAATTAATTTAGGTGTGAACATATAGGCTAATATTGAATTTTCAACATGTTCTTTGTATGAGGAGCAGGATATCGCATAAAATGTGATAGATAAATTATAATATGAGCAATGCAAAGCTAAAAATAGAAAGGTGATTTTCCTTTTCTTCTTTTCTTTCTGAAGGTTTTATATCATGCAAGAAAGCGATACTCGCGTACCTTAATTTTCTTTGAAATGCTTTAATCTGATTCAATTTCTTCTTCTTCTTTTCTTTCCCTTTCATCATCTTTTCCCTGGAATTGTTAAAGAGATAGATAAATGAAATCAATACACTAACAAAGCTGAAAGTGGAAAACCATAAGTTTAATTTTAGGGGGGTCCCCAACTCTCAAAATACACCTAAAGCATCTCTTCTTCATGAAAACAAAAAAAGGAAAGAAGGATAACAGAAAATCGTAAACACATTACCAACTGACGACAACGTAGAAACATTTTATCAGCAACCCAATCCATGCAAAAACCATGTAAAGGCAAAACACAGGAACTGTGTATGACTACAAATTACATTCCATACAATTCTAGTAAAGGTTCTAGAATGCTCCATTCAGGGGGATTCCAACAGAATGTTCCCTTTTCAAACTTGTTCTTAACTCTAGCTCATGCCGATTTTATTAGACAATATGCTGCACCGGGAAAAGAATCAAACAAAACTAGAATCCTCTTGGACACAATTCGAGTAATACTTTATCAATTTTGTCTCATCTGCAGCATAAGCATAAACCAAATCACACTCAACTAACTCTAAAATCAACCGGAAAGAGATAATCTCAGTTCATATTTACAATCAAAACTCTGAAACTTATTAAAGTACCTGCTTGGTCGACTTAATAGAACCATCAGCCAAATTCTTTAAAGCTTCCTGGTCAACACCCTATCACCAACAACAAAAATCACTTTAACCAAAACACAGTTTATATATATATATATATATATATATATATATATATGCAAGGTAAAAGGATAAAAAGGTTCAACCTTGAGAGTGTCAAAGCCTTTTATTCCATCAACGGAATCAATCTTTCCAGCGAAGCAATCCAAGTGATGCCATTTGGTCATGTCAAAGCCTCTAGCATCTCTGGAAACAAGGCCCAACCTCAGGGCCTGAGCAGTTATGGCGTTGCCACATTTCTTGCAAGAGGACCTTCCGGATTTGGCATACTCAGCTACGATTTTGGTGGACATATTTCGCTTTTTCCAACAGTGGAAAGAAAAGTGAGATGAAAGATCGGGGCTTTGGAGGGATTCCGGATTGGGGAAGCGGGAAAACAGAAGAGGAATTCTGGGTTTATCGAGTGTTGTAAGGATTAAGGAAAGGTTAAGCATGGAAAAGAGAGGGGATTTTATGGGGAAGAACCGAAGAGGCTTAATGGGCTCCCGCCATTTTGTGGTGGTTTCGCTCTTCACTGTGGAAGAATGTTGTGCGTGACAAAAGCCTGACAGGTTAGTCGATTAATGTTATAAATCGATTAATCTTAGTAATAAAATTATTATTATTATTTAAAATTCTGGATTTGAATATTAAAAATATCATAACAAATATTCTCTTATATTTAAGTTAAATTAATAAAAAAATTATTAATTTTAAAATATTAATGAAAATTGTTTTTACTCAAATATAAATAATCATTTAAGTAGTTTATCTAAATTCTGACCATTTAAATACTTTGCATTAATTGAGTGGTCTCCTTGGTAAAGGAACGGTTCCTTGAAAATTGAGTTCGAGTATTGAGAACGTCATGGGTGTGTACGTTTAATGTTAAGAGGTTCAGAGTTATATTCGAACAGATAATATCTTGTATTTACTTCAGATTAATAAAAAATACTTAAATTTTTATTTTTTTAAAATTATATCTAAAGTTTAGTTTTTATTTTATTTTAGTATCCCGTTGTTAAAAACTTTAGTTTTGGTTTCATTTTAATATCTCGTTCAAAATTTAACGTTAAATTTTGAAAAAATTGAAAGTTTAAATGCTAAAACGGATCAAAACTAATAATTTCGTTACTCAACGTGTTAAATTTTTAACGACAACGTACTAAATTAAAATAAAAACTAAACATTATATATGATTTTGAAAATATTAAAAGTTTAAATATTAAAATAAATTAAAATTATTAATTTAAATACTAAATACGTAGTTTAATCTTCTTATTTTTACTTCTTTCAGATTTCTCCTATTTCCATGTTTTACCCTTTGCTCGCCCTCCAGCCAGAATTTTATTCGAAGTGATTCCAAGTGGAGGAAATTCCTATAAAAAGTTCCAATAAACAAAGGAAAACCCGAAATATTATACTCGTCTTAATGAATCCATATGACGAGAAAAGGCTAAGAGACGAAGTGATCTACTTGCACTATCTCTGGCACCAAGGACCCCCTCAGAGCACTAATCAAACCCCCCAGAAAAGACCCAGACCTTCAACCCAAAACCCCACCAACAGAAGAAAGTTTGCTCCTTTAGGATCCGACCCATCCCCCGAACCCGACCCGGGACTCGACTGGTCAGCCCTTATGAAACCATCATCACCTTCTTCTCCTGGATGGCCAAAACCCAAGTCTAAACCTGACCCCACCACGGTCAGGCCTGTTTCAGTTGAAGACCAGGCCAGGTTTGCCTCCATGCAAATGCAGAACAAGGTCGTTGAAGGCTGCAAAGAGTTCTTTAATAAAAGGGTTCATGATGAAGAGAACAGTGACGGTGATGATGTTGATGATGAAGAAGAAAAGAGTGAGTTTGACGTGTTTTTGTTGAGTGTTTTTGTGAATAACAGTGAGTTGAGGGGTTATTATGAGGAGAATCATGAGAAAGGTGAGTTCTTTTGCTTGGTTTGTGGTGGCATTGGTGAGAATTTAGGTAAGAAATTCAATGATTGTGTTGGACTTGTACATCATTGTATGTCGATTTCGAAAACAAAGTGTAAGACAGGACATAGAGCTTTTGGATTGGTTGTTTGTAAAGTTCTTGGTTGGGACTGTGATAGGTTGCCTGTGATTTTGTTGAAGGGGGAGCCATTGAGTCGTCGTTTGGAAAATTCAGGGGAATCCCAGGTAATATTTATTATGTTTACTTCATCTTGTTTTTTGTGTTTAATTGCATGCTAATTGTCTCAATCATGGAGCTGTATGAGTGTAGGATACATGTGAACTCTCTATATTTCCATGGTATAGATGATTTGAATTGAATAATTAGTAGTAGAATTGACAGAGAATAACCATTCCCGGTGTGAACTGCTGCCAATGGTAAAGTTTGCAGGGTTAAAAGGGTTAGTGTTGGATTGTGGTCATGCTTGATTAATGAGGAATTTTCTGTAATATGAATTTAGAAATTGAATTGAATTCAAATACGGGAATCTATTATAATCGTGTTAAGTGCAGAACACTTTAAATGGAGATGATTCCAATAAAAATGTGGACAATCTTGAAACCGGAAATTCAGTTGGCGAAGCCCAGAAAGAAATGTCTAACTCTCTGGTAAGAGATTATCTGTAGACTTTTTCTGCTAGTATTTTTATCGACTTTTTGCATTGTTGTGATCGGAGTGATTGTTGTTTGATGTGAAATAATACTAACTGGGTGACATTTAGTTGTGAAATTTTCTATCTTTTAGTTTTAAAATTGAACAATATTTGATTTTTTACTAATTAAATGAAAAGTATGAGGATTCTGATTTTAAAGGATATCGACTAGATAGCCCTTTTTTCTTAATAAAAATCATAATAATGGTTGTTACAGCATTGTCGGTGTATGGTTGCCATTTTATGGACAACTGAACAGTATAATCATGTATGTCAGATATGCAAACTTTTGTTATTTGTAAAAATTAGTTACCAAATTACCGATATACTAACTTTTCCACTTATCAATATCCTTTGTTGGTATACTCGATAACATCACCTTCATTTCGTTCCTAAGGGCACTATTATGATGCTTCTTAACATTCTATAAGTGTTTAATCTCATGGCTAATTTGAAGAAAGGTCAATAGATGATTTGAGGATACGTGAATAGCTGGTGAAAAGCCTAGAGTTTCTCTTAGAATATTTTGAAACTAAGCCTTTTCCTTAAAGTACTAAAGCCAACCTCATTTATTCATTTCAGTCAGAGCATGTTTTGTTTGATTTTTGTCACATTGTTGTGGCTTTTCAAATGTTTCTTATTCTGACATTGCTCTTGCATTAATTAAATTTGGTTTTTCAAGTTCATAGGTTGGCTTATGTCAAATTTTGCAGGATAAGCAGAACGATTTGAATGTAGTTTCGGGTAATGTGGAGTCTGCAAATGATGATGGGAATAAATCAGTTGAAAGAGAGGTTTCTGGTATTGGTCAGAGAAATGGTGAACTGATGATCTTTGAGGTGAGTAACGAGTAACGTGAGTGTAGGATTATTCGCTTTATCATTTGTCGAATCTTGGCTAAACAAGGAATTTTATTCTTGTTCTTTTGAGTTGCAGAATTCTTTAGAGGGGGATGATGCCAATAAAAATGTTGAAAGCCTTGAGATTTTAGATGCTGAGCCAAATAAAGCAGTTAATGATATGGTGAGATAACTATTTTCTAGTAGTGTATGTATGCACATCACATAAATCAACCAAAATTACTATTCCAGCAATCTCAACCTTGTTCTTCATTGCATGCTACAATGAGTTATGAAAATGCTTCTCCATGATCCACAAGTATAGAAACTCATTGTAATTAGGTGAAAAAGGGGATATGATAGTATTTAGGTCCCCTAATTGTTTCTCTGCTGCACAACAATTCGTACAAATCATTAATCCAAGTTGTTGCTTCTGCAAGTGCTTCTTTGAGATCCCCTCACTTGCACCCTTCCTTTCGAATTTTAAACTGGACAAAGTTGGTTATCGATTTTGGTACCATCAAAATCTTTACCCGTTATGGAATATGTATGATGCAGGGATTAGACTCGTCTCAGATCACTACCGGTGAATGGCCCTGCATTGAACCTGTTAATGAGTCCACTTCAACAACTCTGGAATGGCCCAGCTTTAAGACTTTCACTGCTCCTGTCACACACGTGGTTTCTGCTGAAGAACAGATACGAATCGACATGGTGAAGTTCCAGCAGAATGTCTTTGAAGCTTGCACACAATTCTTATCTACAACAGCTGAATCAGACAGTGGCGAAGACTATAATGAATTTGATGAAGATGGAAATGAAAATGATTTGATGGATGAAGATGAGTCTAAAGATAGTGAGGGGTTCAGTTTCTTTCTGAGGCTTTTCACAGAGAACGATGGACTCCGCAGTTATTACGAGACTCACTGTAGAAATGGGGATTTCTTTTGTTTGGTCTGTCGTGGGATGAGGGAAAAAGCTTGGAGGACTTTTAAAGACTGTGTGGGGCTTATTCAGCATTCGACTGCTATATCAAAGACAAAAAGGAAACGAGCTCATAGAGCTTTTGGGCAGGTTATCTGTAAAGTTCTTAATTGGGATATTGACCATCTTCCATCGATCATGTTAAAGAGTGAGCTTCAGAGCCATTCATTGGAGGACTCGTCACAGGTAACCATCGATATGCAACTGAGCATTATAATTATACATGTCAGAGATGCAAACTTTTGGTATTATGAAAATTAGTTAAAAAATTACCGAAACATTAAAGTTACCCCTTACCAATATCCCTTTGCTGGTATTTTCGATATCATCATCTTTATTTCATTCCTAAGAGCACTCTAACGATGCTTTTTAACATTATGAGTATATAATCTCATGACGTGTTTACATAAAGAATGTCAATAGGTGTTTTAAGGATTTTGCCAATGGTTGTGAAAAGCCTAGTTTTCTCCTACAATATTTTGAAACCAAGCCTTTTCCATAAAATACTAAACCTTATTGATTCAAATCGGTGCATGTTTTTTTTTCTTTTTCTTTTTCTTTTTTTTTTTATCTCGTGTTGTGGTTTTTTCAAATGTTTCTTATCCCGACATTGTCCGCACTAGCTAATTTTGGTTTCCAAGCTCAACGGTTGGCTTATGTTAATTTTGCCCGTTTAGGGGGGATGATTTGAATGTTGCTTTGGGTTATTTAGAATCTGCAAATGCTGATTGTAGTGAATCAATTGAAAGAGAGGTTTCTATTATCGGTCAAAAGTAATGTTAAATTGAAGACTTGTAACACAAGTAACGCGAGTGTAGTATTTTTCACTTAATTCATGTGTGCACTAATGGAATCTGAGCTAAATATGGAATTATCTATTGCTTATGTAAATTTTGCAGAATTCCTTGAAGGGGGATGATGCCGATGAAAATGTAGAAAGTCTAGGGATTTCGGATGGTAAACCAAAACCAAACAAAGGAGCACCTAATGATCTGGTGAGATAATTTCTTTTT